GCAGTGTGCCCTTGTTGCCAAGAAGGCAGATGGCATATTGGGCTGCATTTATGGGAGCATTGCCAGCAGATTGAGGGAAGTGATTATTCCCCTCTATTCGGCACTGATGAGGTCACACCTGGAGTATTATGTCCAGTTTGGGATCCCCCCACTACAGAAAAGATGTGGACAAATTGGAGAGAGTCCAGCAGAGGGCAACGAAAATGACCTGGGGGCTGGGGCACATGACTTACAAGGAGAGGTTGAGGGAACTGGGCTTATTTAGTCTGCAGAAGAGAAGAGTGAGGGGGGATTTTATAGTAGCCTTCAACTCTCTGAGATAGGGTTCCAAATAGGATGGATCTCGGCTGCTCTCAGTGGTGGCAGATGACAGAACAAGGAGCGATGGTCTCAAGTTGCAGTGGGAGAGGTCTAGGTTGGATATTAGGAAACACTATTTCACTAGGAGGGTGGTGAAGCACTGGAATGGGTTACCTAGGGAGGTGGTGTAATCTCCATCCATAGAGGTTTTTAAGGCCTGGCTTGACAAAACCCTGGCTGGGGTGATTTCGTTGCTGTTGGTCCTGCTTTGAGCAGGGGGTTGGACTAGATGACCTCCTGAGGTCCCTTCCCAGCCTGATATGCTAGGATTTTCACAAATTTGCCTTCTCTTCTGATCGCCTGAATTGGGCTTCTTTTTCTGTAATCCTCTGTAACTGCAGTTTCCTTCCTTTCTATTATTTATATGTGTTTTGTTTGTCTATTATTTATATTACTTATTGCCCTTAGCACGCTATCATTTCTCTCAGTACAGTGGAGGTTGATGACCTGAAGCTATTTAATGCATGTTTTAATAGCAAGCAATCAGGTTTACTTTTAGGCATTTTTTTTTTATTATTTTTATGAATACAAATTTCACTATTGCAAGGAAATTATGGGGTGTATGTTTGAGAGATAATAGGGGACAGACAATAATTATTTAATGACAGTCGATGTTGCGATTCAAAAAATTAAAGCTTTATATCCGTTAAAACAAAAACTGTCAACACCACATAACAAGATAAACAAAGTAACTATTCGTTAATTGAACTTTAGTTCTCAACAGGGGCGGCTCTAGCTTTTTTGCCGCCCCAACCTGCGGGAGGTCCGCCAGTCCCGCGGCTTCAGCGTACCCGCCACCAAATTGCCACCGAATCCGCGGGACCAGTGGACCTCCCACAGGCAAGCCACAGAAGGCTGCCTGACTGCCGCCCTCTCAGGGTCCGGCAGGACACCCCCCGCAGCTTGCTGCCCCAGGCACGCACTTGGAGCGCTGGTGCCTGGAGCCGCTGCTGGTTCTCAAGCAGCATTTCCTTTACTTTGTCTAGCTGCAAATTTTGATTATCATCGATGAAAATATTTTTCATCAGTTGGTGAGCGTGTGGTGAAATTGATGTTTACTGACGTTTGCCAATAAAAAACTGCTGATTCCAAGCCTAACTACATGGAGTATTGGCTTGTCATTGGGTAACTGGCCCCAAAAAGAGAGATGGGCCCAGCACTGTCTGTGACTAATCAGCTGCCTCCATGCTGAATTTTTTTTATTACAATTCTTCACACTCTGGACATCATCATAATGTCAGGCAATCCACACATTAAGTCACTTAAAACAGGGTCAAACCAGCCCACAGCATCCGTAACCACTTTATTTGCTTCCTGGGCCATGATTTCCTCTGCCGAGATGAGAGGAGAAAACTGATTGCTCAAAGTGAGATGAGAAGAGGAAAGAGGAGACGGGACAGGGACTACAAGGGAAGGAAGGGCCATCTGAGCTATTGCAGAGTTCTATGAGGCAGATGCCCCCCTTACCCGCTGCAGGACTGAGACATGGAAAGAGCTCCGCCCTTAGTCCTCACCTCTTTGACAAACTCTATGAGTCTTTAGGAATCTTGCCCTCAAATGCAATGACCACCTCAAAGGATGAAACCCTGCCCCCTCCTCAACCTGTGCCAACAGTGCTCCCACCTGAGACCTCTCCTCTCCCACTCTAGGGTCACCCTAGGTTCCTCTCCCTCTGCTTTTGTGCCTGTTGCTGTTGTGGTGGTTTCTGCATCTTCTTGCACCCAACCCCTACTGCTTTTGTCCATGCACAACTGCTGCCCATCTCTAGAAGGGGAGCATCTTCCGCATGTTCTTCGCCAGATCATAAAATCATCACAGAGAAGGTTTGAAGATGACACAAAACTTGGAGGATGGTAAATAATAAAGAGGATGGGTCACTGATATGGATAGGGTGACCAGACGTCCCGATTTTATTGGGACTGTCCCGATATTTGCTTCTTTGTCCCGCCTCCCAACCAATGTTTGGTCGGGACACTGGACAAAAAAGAAATTTTGCCCTCGGCTCTGGCGCTCGCGCCCCCCTGCCCCGGCTCCGCCCCCCTTTTTCCCCCATTGGCTCCCTCCCCAAATCCCCGCCCTGGCCCCGCCTCTTCCCCAACCACACAGCATTCCTCCTCCCTCCCAGGCTTGCCACATGGCAGGGCAAGCCTGGAGGGAAGGGGCGGCAGCGGTGCCTGGATCCTGGAGCTGGTGAGTCAGCTCTGGCACCCAGGCACCAGGCGGGCAAAGGGGGGCTAGCAAGGGAGGGAGACGGGGGGGCTCAGCTGTGAGCCCCCCCGCCATGCCAGAGGGCTCCTGCCCAGGCCGCTGCACTCGGGGCCGGGAGTGCAGCCTGGAGGCTGCTCCAGCCCTGCAGCCCGCGGGGCAGCGTGGAGCGGGCAGGGGCCGGGTGGGCGGCGCGGGCCGAATCCCTGCTGTTGCCGGGGAGCCCCGCACCTCTCCCTCCCGCTCGCGGCTGTGGCTCCTTCCCAGCGGGACGCGCCCCCCGGCCTGCCCCGGGCACATGTGGCGCGTGTCCAGCTGCTCCTT